ACTGCTCGGCTGTCTGATCGCGGTTGGCTGTTCATGAAACTGAGATGATGAAATTTTGATCGCATGATTTCAGTATTTCGCAATCGACTCATCTGATTAGCGGCAGAAGCTTACGATTTATTCTGTTTCGCAGAATTCGCTTACATATACAAATCTCTTTGCACAATGCGTTGACATCATTTTTTGTTTCCCAAAAACTGCTTGTGTAAACATTCTGGGATCCGAATGTTGATGTTTTTGACTATGGGTCGCTTCAGTGTATCCACTGGGAACAAAATATGAAATTGCGCTTATTTTTATGGGTTATATTCTATATTAAAAAATTATTGGAAATTTTGGACCAATTAAAAATGAAAATTGCCTTTAAATTAATATTTTTTGGTTTACTATTTCAGCCGGCGACTCCACAGAAAATCCTTCGCGACTCATGGGTTGGGAACTCGTGGTCTAATGGATGCTTCTCGATGTGATTTCCTAGTTACTTAAATTGATATCTTACCATTGCCTGAATTTAGGCGGTTACGTGCGGTCGGTTGCATATTTTATCTGATTTTTCTGCTCGTGAGTTCGACATTAGTGCGTAATTGCAGCTATTAGTTTTGTTTCTCCAATGCCATTGTATCTTACGTCTATTTGTTGGTTGGTATCTTTGGATATCCATCATTGTTTTTGTGGCGAGATGCACGCGCTGCGTTGTTTCTTTGCAGCAAAGTGCGAGAAAAGATCTCACTGCTAGCAGCCAAGTATTTTATTGTGGCACAGGCTTTATAAGGATATATCGTTCAAATGGTGAAAGGCAGCGATAGTTCTCGTCCTTCAGTGCAATATGTTCCTTTCGATTCTGACCACCAGTGTCCGCTTGGCAGTTAAGAAAGTGGGTTTGGAAAGTGGAACTAATGGGCTGTCGTATGTTATCCTGATTCGAAGGTCTTAGTTTCAATATAACATGAACAACGCAGTGATGAGCCCTCATTATTATACTCTTCCGTACTGATTATTGTTCTGTTGTTAAGGCTCATAAAGGTGGTATAGCGTTTTGAATCCTTCGTAGTTGGTGTTTTAAACTGAAAATTTTCATGGATTTTGCCTTCAATGATGTATGGTGTTTCATTATACAGTATGCCATTTATGCAGATACGTGATGGTGTCTTCAATCGGTGTGTCATCTCCCTTGCCTTTTTATTTTCGAAGGTCGTCAACTTCTCAGCGGAACTGTCATCGTTCATCTTACGTTGTCTGTTGCTCTTTCTTTCAGAAGTTCAGCCACTTTAGATACTTCTACTAACTGCACAATATTCAAAGATGAACGACTCCTTGGAGACCATCATCACATATATTAACTTTGTATTACTTGCAGTCCCATTTACGAGATGCATATTACGCCGAACTTTTGACTGCGGTCATCGAGCGAAGTCTTCATGAAAAGGTCTATCGCTTCAGTGATCCGACCTCGTAAATTAATGCAACTGAACAAGGAAAATGTGTTGCCTCCATCGGTTACCTAAAAAGCATAACAACCTTTAAATGCCTGAAAAATCTATCGCCAGCAATATGCTGATATGATGTTACAGATCGTAACGTGTTCAGAATAATCTGGATTTAAGCAGTTCCATAAAGCGTCTCTGATTTAAACAGATTCTGAAGACGCTCGTTCTCTTCAGGAGCGCAGATGCCAAGCACTCTCTAGGCAGCAATGATCATTTCATCAGTGTTAGCTGTTTTACTCAAATATCGAGCCACTGATTGAAAATTTGCTCGAAGGTGGACAAGACAGTGCAGTTTGTTTTCAAACATAACTGATATACTCCTGCGTCTTGACGGTGTTGCCATGAAAATCTCTTCATTGATCTCTCTGCGGCATTCTGTTGTGTGTAGTGCTATTTTTACTTCTTGCAGGCTGTAAAACGCACGAATTCCCTGATATATGCTGCGTTACTGCTTTCAGATCGATAACAATAAGTTGCAATCACGAAACGCCACTCTTCTACGTTGCGTCAAAACCTTGGAGTTCTCCAAGGCTCCGTATTGTCTCTTACTTTTCAGCTTCTTTGTGAGCACTCTCAGACGGCCGGAAATCTCAGATGCATCAGTTAAGTGGGTGACATCGCGCTTGTCTGGTCTATCTGTTGCAAAACTGGTAGATTGAGAGACACTGTAGATGTAATAGAAAAATGGTTCTGTTGCCGGAATATTGTCTAGGTGACGGTTGTAATCAGTCGTAAATTATCAGTGAGGTTACCGTTAACAGTCGAACAGACTATCCACATGGAGAACGAGATAAGCACTCGCGTCAATGGCATCCAGTATTTGGAAACACGGTCGAAGAAAAACTTCGGTCGGAACGACCGTATTATCAGTGTTTTGAAAGTTAAACAAGGGTTTTGGTTATCTGCACCGTTTAATACGCATGACATCGCTTATTTCAGTAGACATACGGCTATTGGTGTCTTGCAGATTTTTACGTGTGTTGACCCTGGCATTTTCGGGGGTTTGCTTAAGAATGACACATGTTAGGCGGAGCGATACTGCTGGCTTCCCCGGTGAAATTAGTTCAAGACCCCTTGTCGATCAATTTGCAGTTGCAGATTATTAAAGATCTTTCTGACGGCTGGGATAGTCGCTGCTGTCCGACGATAGCTGTCCTTTAAAATCGAATTTCTGAAAGTATTCATCGTTACGTCACGTGATCAATACTTTCAAGGCAGTAAAAGGTCGCTGGACTTTGTCTTACATCCGTTTTTTGTATATTTCTAATATTGGAAAAAAGTGTGGAAAAAGAAGTGTTTGTATATAAATTTGACTCTGGGCTTTGAGTGCGCTGTCATTGGATTGTGATCTATCTTTTTGTGCAGTGCCGTGTCAAAGTGTTTTGCTTACAGTAATGAGTATTGCTAAAGCGAATAAACGTTTCTTCTTGCTCAGTCTGTGGCAGTATGTCAGTGTAAGTCTTTTCAGTGGACAAGCGACATAAATGTACAATCTCGAGCAAGCCAATTTCATCAGATTCCTCAGGTCTTGACAAAGTTCTTGACAAGTAACACGAAGAATTTTCCGCTGAAAATGAGTTCCATTCCTTTTTTATAATCCTAGCCTTGTTCAGATCCTCCATACTTCATCCTACTATTTGAGAGTAGATGACGGATGAGAATTAATGCGAACGGTGAACCAGAATCCTTCCGACGGTTTGTGATCGTAGTGTTTGTCTGGGGTTTTGATCAGTGTCCTAGGCAAAATTGTTCTGCAAGACATTTCGCCGTGTTATTCGATCATGTGCTTTGGTCGTTGTCCGTTTTCTGTAGTAGGATATTAAGCAGGTGCTAGTCTTCGATGTTGGGGTACATAGAAGTCCTAAATTGAAAGTTCCATGCTCTCATTGCTGATTGAGCTAGTAAACCGAACGTTTCAGACATTTCTGAAATGATTTATTTCGTTCATCATATCTTCACTTCTGAGTTGAAAGGCGCATTTTTGCACATTTTTTGTTTTGTTGCTTTTTATTCTCGCATGTATATTCTCGAAACGTTTTGTACTTTTTACCAGATGTGAATTGCTCTTATTATTACAAATAATACGCAGTATACAACTTTTTGAAGGACGTTATATTTACGCATTAGAGGTCTCGCCAAAATATGGGCTGACAGATGGATAATGGTAACACTTAATAAATCTACATTTTATAGTCATGGATAATAAAATCACTTCGCTTTTTGTACATAATACAGACAGCGAAAATAAATTAACGGATGACGTTATGTATGTTTTTATCT